CGACTAGCCCTAGGAAAGCAAAGGCCAGTGAAACGATAAAAAGACAACTTACTAGTTCACTCGCGAAAACTTTGACTGGGAAAATGGGCTAAGCACTTCGAATAACAGTTTAGCTGGCGTCCTGCATCACAGTCCCTGAAGATGGTGCATACGGGCCAGTGAAATGTAAACCTTAATCGCCCGTCAGAAGAAGGGATAAAGTACGAAATATCCATACTGAAACATGAGAAAGCACCAGGACCAGAAGGTTTGTACCCAGCCCTGTTTAGAGAAGTCGGATCACGTGACCCATCTAACAAAGCCTATTAATGCTAAATGGAGCAAAGAGAAGTGCCTGCAGAATTGGGCATGTTGACAGTTGTTCCCATCTTCAAAAGACTATGTGGGTGCTGTGTGAAGACCAATGCGACATCCTGGTGGCATTAAATGTGTGTTGTGTTTGACGAGGGCTGAAGTGCAGTGACAACCACAATAAAAAAGAAAAACACTGAGGGCCCACAATCCAGGTTTTATTCATCGAAAACGTTGACACAGCAAGCCGAAACGAGAAAAAGTGATTTAACAATGAATGACGAAACGTTTTGATGAACAACAAATATACGCCATTCACCTCCGTAGAGATAAATGCTTACAGGAGTTCGTTTTATAACGAACAATTTCAGACCTCTCTGTTGCGCCAGAAATGCGGTCGTGTCCGCTGTTATTGTACAACCAGCGGGTGTCCAGAAGGATTCGAAATTTCCAGTTTCCGAAGCAGAGGAGTCAGATAGTTCCTGCTTAATAAATGAATCAGTATTGGGCTGTGACTGCTGCTGTTCGGATGCTGGGGCGCATTCGAAATCTGTGGAAAGCGCCAGATGATGCAGGGGGAGATAGTTTCTTTCATGCCGTTAAGGTGTCGGACATGTGCGTACTCAGGGTTACACTCCGGGAGCCCAACCTATTCGACTAAGGGGTCATACTTCGAAGATCATGTGTTTCGCCACATCAGAACCGGTCCTAGCGAAAGCGACCATTGTGGGCGTGTTTTACCGATCGCGGATTTTCGATTATGATGAAACATTCCCACGTATGGAATGGCATTGGTGGCGATGCACAACAAGGAGTGAATCGAATGGAGCGCACCTTATAAAACGGTTTCCCAGTGACTGATTTGAAGACTTTTTGATCGTAGTGAACGCGTAATAGCTGCTCAGTGTTCCATTTAATCGTCCCACCTGACCGTTTTCTCTTGGGTTTTATGGTGTGTTCAGACTGGTAGCAACGCCTTTTTCATGACAAAATCGCCCAAGCTCATCCGACATGGATGATGAACCGAGATCCGAACGCAGGAAACAGGCAGGCCAAATGTAGCAAAGAGCGACGGGGCGTTCAGCTGTAGCAAGACACAAGACATATCACCATATAGGAACTTGTAGCTGAACAAGGATGGGCGAATGGGGATACCTGTGTACAACCGTCTGTAGATATTTATTTTGAGTCGTCGAAGGCAATGGTCTTATGAAGTCAATGCTCAAACGTTCAAACGTTTGTGCGGCTCTAATGATTGTACCACCAGATGGTTTGAAGTTTTAGTTTCGCGCACACATGGCGAGATGGTTCAAGTGGTTAGAGAGCGAATTTACTGACCGGAAGGTCCGTGGTTCGAGTCCGACCTCCGCCACTCGACTTCCCCTGTCTAGGCTTGGGCAACCCGGCAGTATCTCAGCCCTCGTGCTTCCTTCGGGTGGCATGGCAGTTAGGCACTGGAGGGTGCTACAGCTGAACGCTTACACATGACATTGCGTAAAGACAAGTCGGATATCCCCTAAAAAAAAATGAGAGATTCCTGGCACGAACAAAATGCATCATGAATTTTTCTCCAGGATGGCGCCGGGTGTGCGTAGACGTTTTAGATCCGGCTGAGATGAAGAGTTCGCACAGGTACTCCGAAAGAGCGTGTGAGTGGCTTGCTTTTGATTCTTGGTCTGTAGGTTAAGTCAAAATGCAAAAGTAATAACTCCATCTGCCGTCCTTGGATTTTGCCATTTTTTCCTTTTCGTTGTTTTGAATACATGAACACAACGGTCCGCTTATTGATTACAATATTGAAATTGGTCCCGAGTAGGTAATGCTTCCATTTATGCACTGCTTCGGCAATTGCACATGCTTCTTTCTCAATACCATAATGATGTTTTTCATTGGCGGGCAGTGTACATGAAGGGAATGCGATCGGTTTTCCATCTTGATTGAGTGTAGCGGAAATCGCAACATCAGACACATCTGTTTCGAGTATCAGAGGTATTTGTGGATCGATAGTGATCACGGATGCATCCACCAACTTCTTTCTGAGACTTTCAAACGCTTTGATAACAAACTGAGGGACTGTAAAAGTTGTATTTTGAGTGATTGGGTAGATTTTATGGGAGAAATGGCTTTTCCAACGAAAATAGTGCGCAGAAAAGCCAACTGCACGTTCCTTAGACTCCATGTTCTTCGAACCAAGTGGTTCTTGCAGGACACTTAAACGTTCAGGGTCTGGTTTGATGATACCTTCAGTAATTTCATAGCCAAGGAGTCTGAGTTTAGTATCGGATTTATAGTTTATGGTGGTGATTTAACTGAAGGCCGCTCCGCGCGCTTTATGTGGGGCGAGATGGCTCAGTGGTGAGAGCACGAATTTACTGACCAGAAGGTCCGTGGTTCGAGCTCGAATTCTGCCTCCCGGCTTCCCCTATCTAGGTCTTGGCAACCCGGCAGTATCCCAGTCCTCGTGCTTCCTTCGGGTGACATGCCATTTAGGCCCCGAGAGAAAGTGCTACAGCTGGACGATTTTTTTTTAAATAACAGCAGCTTTCCAGAAGGGAAACACTGCGTTGTAAATAAAGGTAATCATTCAGCCGAAAAACCCTTTGCTGCTTATTTGCCACGGCAACAGAAGGAAGCACGGAGATTGGGATGCTGCCAGGTTGCCCAAAACGTCTTTAGAATACTTGGAATGACCTGCTACGTCCCTGGTTTGTACGTAACGTCACGAAGAGACTGGGCCTTGATGTGACGGATTGTGTGTCTCGGCGACCGCGCGACCCTTGAATAGTCTCTCAAACCAGGTTGGCCCAAGTCTAGACAGGGGAAGTCAAGAGGAAGAGGTTGGATTCAGATAAACGATCTTCCGGTAAATTCGCGCCCACTGAACCACCTCGCCCCGTTATGTGTCGTGCACCGGTGCAGATGAAGGCTCGTCTCCAAGATTATCTACAACATTGAGTGCAACGACTGCATTAAGGTTCATAGGACAGAGGGTCATGAAACGTCACACCAGAATGGGAGGGCACATGAGGAAAAAACACGGGCCGCTGATTAACACAGACGAATATCTAGCGTTACTGAAACACGATGGTTTCGTTCACAAGTGGCTTCCGGGGTCCGGTCCCAAGAAGCAGTTGAAATAATTTTCAGGCATTTGCGGTTTCTCGACCTCGTCTAGTTCCCTAGCATTTTGAGTCCACCAGGTTCCACGGTCGGCGCGCACGTTAATTTCCACCTGGCATGCGATGATTATTCCAGAGAAATAATATCCGGGACCGGCGGGAATATTTCTCCGAGACTCAAGCAGTGCTATTAATAAGCTTGCACCTTGCATTCTTATTTACGATACGCAGCACACACCAACCTCAAGCGGATCCAGAGTAAGAGTGAAGGGAGCTTGTTGTCCTGGTTGCTCCAGAGTGCGGACATTGAAAGTAGCCGGGCAGACTGCGCGCCCAGGCTTGAAGATTTATTTTGAGATGCATGAGGATGTCAACAGCGGATGATGCACAGGGGCTGCTTGCACACCCGATTCAGGACGAACAAAGTCCTCAAACCAAATGAGTGTGCAAGTAGGTTGAAGGGAGGGGGAATCTAAGCCAAAGAGAAAGAAATGTGGCGTCAGCAGCAGCCCAATTTCGCTTACCCATTATGTTGTATGCAGCAAGCACGGCAACACGCGACGCCCGATATGGCATAAGATCATTTATGTGAAGTTCATTGTTACTGCCAGGGCACCCACGCCCAAAGGAGAGGGAAATAAGCGTCCTCAAACAAATCTCTGGCTTAAAAGCCCGACAACAAGGCAGTGGTTTTGGTGGGAAATACAATGCATCTCAACTTCTGCGGAACAAGCGCCGCACATAACCTCAAGCGGATCCAGAGTAAGAGTGAAGGGAGCTTGTTGTCCTGGTTGCTCCAGAGTGCGGACATTGAAAGTAGCCGGGCAGACTGCGCGCCCAGGCTTGAAGATTTATTTTGAGATGCATGAGGATGTCAACAGCGGATGATGCACAGGGGCTGCTTGCACACCCGATTCAGGACGAACAAAGTCCTCAAACCAAATGAGTGTGCAAGTAGGTTGAAGGGAGGGGGAATCTAAGCCAAAGAGAAAGAAATGTGGCGTCAGCAGCAGCCCAATTTCGCTTACCCATTATGTTGTATGCAGCAAGCACGGCAACACGCGACGCCCGATATGGCATAAGATCATTTATGTGAAGTTCATTGTTACTGCCAGGGCACCCACGCCCAAAGGAGAGGGAAATAAGCGTCCTCAAACAAATCTCTGGCTTAAAAGCCCGACAACAAGGCAGTGGTTTTGGTGGGAAATACAATGCATCTCAACTTCTGCGGAACAAGTCGCCGCACATGTTCTAACCCCATTCTGGAGGACCAGGAGAGTGTGTTGACCAGATCTCTAACCACTGACCAACTCAGTACGGAGGACTCAACGGGGTCCGCATAGACACCTCCCCAATACAGCTCAAAGCGCCGGAGGCAGACAAAAAGTAACACCATGTTGAGGTGACGGACCAGTGGCCTGGTAGTCCAGCTAATGGTGCTCGGGCTCCTAGGACGAACACAGGGATTTAGTTGGCGTACATCTACCCCATTTCGCCCTGAGGCGACCGCCCGTTGGACCCATACATCACATCGACAAACGAGGAGAGCAGGCCTGCGCACAAGCCAAACTGCAACATGTGATTGGTCCAATGTGGCTAGGCCACTCAATCAGAACTCCCAACGGGACTTCGTGGCCGGCCGGTATCCGGAGAACGGAACTGATGTCTCGAACATTATGTGATAACCCCTGTTATTTTGCATTCGAATCCTATTTTTCATCCAGTATCAACCATAACATTACTGAATACAGACTGCCCCCCGCAGCCATCGATAGACCACAACAAATGTGCACGAAATGGCTGTCCGTCGAACGTAAAATGTTATGTGCAATGCCACACCAGCATGGGTTTACAGGACGACTAGGTAGGCCAGCCATCTAGCTCCCGGGACCCATTTACGCCGGCTACCTCTACATTAAAGGTGCAATGCACATCGTGGCTAAGAAGAGACCTACCAAAAACGAGCCCAATCCCAAGCACTGAATCAGGAAACCGGTGTGAGTTTTCCGCTTTGATCGGGACGCTCGACGTGAAACTGGGGCCCCTTTGAAAACCACTGGAGGATGCAAACACGAAGAACGCAGTGACCTGGACGAAGGTTGATAAAGAACTTCCTCAGTTGAACGGGTACCTAGAGCTGTTAAACCTGGGTCCGCTGGATGCGAGGAAAGACGTGGCGATTTGTACCTTTATTTACTTCCATTATAACACCACGTATTTCATCAATTGCATAACCGTTTTCTGTTTAAATACGAAAAACTATAAAAAACGCGCACTTGCACAATTTCACATAATACAAGCGTGGTCACGTGCTTCGAATATATCTTCTGGTTTCGCTCGTGCTTGCAACGGTCATTCGCGAGTCTCATGTACTAACTCTGGTACCAAAACATTTCAGACATCTTCGGAATCTATTATATG